CCTTATTTTAAAGAGAGGATTCCTCCACTCTATAACTTGAACTGAGCAATGTTCCATCCCTTCAATTTTTCCCTTAATGATGTGATAAATAATTTTGAAAGGAGAGAAAAGAGTTTGAAGAGGGTTGATTAGTGTATTGTTTGGGAGGAAAATTTGGGTGATGGAGCATTTTCAACTTGAATTAGAGGAACCTTTTGGGTTTGTGGTGTTCAATACCAATCATCTGAATTGTCTATTTTGTCAAACATTCGTGTGTTTTATTCAAAAAAAAAAGTAGGTCGGCCTGATTTTTATAACTTATTTAATTTACCACGTTGGTTACTAAAAAAAAAATAGATTACAATTATATTTTTAAAAATAAATCATCTAATTTTTTGGTGACAAACATGATAAATTGAATAGTCTATGCTTATCGGATCGACCTAATTTTTTGTGTGAATGATATACATGAAATGCCCGACAAAATGAACAGTTTGAATCATCGAAACAGGACCAATGATGGACCCTATGGACCCAAATAGTGCCATCCAATTCACAACTGCCTCTTATTTTAAAGTCGTGTCAAGAATTTTATTTCTACAAAAAAAATTAAAAAAAGAGTAAAAACTAATAATAATTGAAGACTTTTTAAATTGTGTAACTATTTTTCATTTTCGTAATACTTGACTGTAGCTCAAGTAATTGTAGCAGCAAAAGTCTGGTTATACTAGCATAACCTACTACCCAGTGCAAAACAAAACAATTCAAAAAAATTACATTTGTTAAATAATTCAAATTTATGATTTGAGGTAAACCAAATAACCCAACTAGGAATGTTAGAAAGTTGTTTGAAGAAAGCTTAGAACTTTTTTTTAAGGAGTTTTTTTTTTTCTTTTTTAAATTTAAATATATAGAAAGTTCCCTTTAATTCGGTGGGGGCAAAAACAAAGAAAGGGAAATAAGGGAAAATTGGTCTAAGGTCCCTCTCTCACTTTTCGTAATGGAAGAGATCCACAAAATTATTTTTTGATGTCTAAGGTCCCTAAACATATATCAGAGAAATTTGACTGAGTTTGATCCTCTTCCTCAAAACCTCATTGCCCGATTCTTCTCTCTCTAGCAAAACCTCCCAATCTCTTTCTCTTTCTTTTTTTTTTTTGTTTTTTCTCTGTACTTTCTACATCTCTCAACCTAATTTCATGGATCTATAAACCCACCCACCTACATTGTTGTCTTTCGTCTAGGGTTTACGAGTGACATGCTTCGTTCGCAATTCCCACTCTTTCGAAGCCATGCAATTGCTTGCTTCGAGCAAAGGAGCTGATTATTAACTCCGCCGCTACTGCCAACAAGAGCTACACCGGGACCCTAGAAACACTCGCTGAGACTCCGGTGAGGCATTCGAGCTTGGTGGTCTTTGTTTTTGATGATGGTGTATCTGCTAGGCAGCAAATTGTACTTTCATCTATACAAGCAGAAAATACACTCCTTGTTTCATTTGTTGATCTAATTCTTTCGTCTGTAATGCATATCAGTTCAAAAAATACATAAAGCATATCAATTTTTGTTTGCTGAATCTTCTTCCTCCAGAGAAATTCTGGGAATCCAGAGAAATTTCAAACCGGTCTCTCCCTCTCTTCCTCTCTGCTCTCCGGCATGTAGTTGGTGTTGTACTGTGTGTTCCGGTGCTACTGGTTCTTTTGTTCCATCTCGGCGATCTCGCCGTCCATGGTACTGGTCTAATTATATTGTTGGTCGGTGATTCAAGAAAAGAGTCCCCCCTAGGAATTTCTCTAGGTTGATCCAGAGAATTTCTCTGGTTTCAACCCAGAGAAAATTCAGTTCAACACCAACCTCAACACCACGCGCAACCATGGCAGCAAGCTTCTGATCAACTCTCTCTCTCTCTCTCTCTCTCTCTCTCTCTCTCTCTCTCTCTCTCTCTCTGCAGTGTCGGATTTGAAAAATATATACATATGCATAGACCAGCTTGAACAAGGATTGGTATCTCTACTAGTTTCTTCTCCTGATGAAGTTTCATCTTCAATGGAGGATGGTTTTTCAGCTCTTCCACCTGAAGTCCCCGATGTTGGGAATCTAGGGAGTGAGATACCTGGTCTGGATTCAGCTGTTCACAGTGATGAAGTTCCATCTTCAATGGGAATTCTTCTGATAATAGAAAGTATGTATATAATATTGTATTGTTGCCTTTCTTCTTCACCTTTGAGAAGCAAGGAAGCGAGTTGAGGTAGGGAAATTCTTATGTTCAAAAAAAAAAAAGGGCAGAGAAATTTAGGAAGTTTAGGGAAGTCTAGAGAAATTTCAATTTTCTCTGACTTGAATCTGCAGTGTCGGATTTGAAAAATATATACATATGCATAGACCAGCTTGAACAAGGATTGGTATCTCTACTAGTTTCTTCTCCTGATGAAGTTCCATCTTCAATGGAGAATGGTTTTTCAACTCTTCCACCTGAAGTCCCGATGTTGGGAATCTAGGGAGTGAGATACCTGGTCTGGATTCAGCTGTTTACAGTGATGAAGTTCCATCTTCAATGGGAATTCTTCTGATAATGGAAAGTATGAATATAATATTGTACTGTTGCCTTTCTTCCTCACCTTTGAGAAGCAAGGAAGTGAGTTGAGGTAGGGAATTCTTATGTTAAAAAAAAAAAAGGGCAGAGAAATTTACAGTTGGAAGTTTAGGGAAGTTTAGAGAAATTTTCAAAATTTCTCTGGAAAGTCCAGAGACTCTCTGACTTGAATTTTCTCTGGACTAATTTTCTCTGGATTGATGTTGAAGGATCTTAGACATCATGAAAATATTTGATGTCCTTTCTACTATAAAATCATAATATTAGGGACCTTAAAAAAAATACCCCTAAAGGGTTAAGTTGAAAGAGAAAATTGAAGTTCACTAGCATAAATTTACATGTTTTAATTAAAAGAGGGGTCCAAAAATGAAAAACCTAAAATCTAAATAGAAATTGAAATATTTTTTAATTCTAAATATTCAAATGTTGAATCACTAAATTTGAAATTTTAAGATAAATACAGTTTAAGAGTGATAATGCAAAGTATTCTTCATTTCAGATTTACACTCACACTTCCATGAGTTTGAAATTCGCATCAGCTTGTTTGGTTTTACTTTTTAGAATTCACTTTTTAAAAAATTAAATTTTTTTATTTTTCATATTTTTTTGTTTTTACTAATTTTTTTTAATATTTTAAGCAATTTTTAGATACACGTAACATAAATACACTTAAAAAATATAATATTTGTGAATTTTTTTTTTAAAAAAAATCACTAAATGCCAAAAATACAAAAATTAAATACATTTTCATATTCCTGTGTATTTACTACTTTTTTCAAATATTTTTTTATAAACATTTTACTTTTTAGATACATAATCTAAAAAGGTAAAAAACTGCTTAAACTTTTAAAAATATTCACTAAAAAAATAAAAAACAAAAAATTAAATTTTTAGAAAATTAAAACCAAATATAGTTTTAAGAGAAACTATTATTAAGGTCAACTTTCTCACCACATTGTGATCATTTATATTCCATTTACTAATCTATATAATAAAGTAGGAAGATTTTTGAATCTTCAACACATTTTTGTCTTATTATGACATTTGGACAAATTATATCTATTCAAACTACAAAATAATGACAGTGGCGTATTTTTTAAAAAATATCATACGTGTATATTTTTTACTTTTCTGCTTCTCTCTCCTACTTTTTTCTAGGGCTGAGCAAGGAATCCGTGAAATCCGTAATCCGATCCAGTCCAGTCCAATCCGATAGGTTTGGATTGGTTTTTTGAATCCGTGGTTCGGTTCCGGATTGAAAAATTAAAAATCCGTAGTACACGGATTGGTTCCGAATTGAACCCCACGGTTCCGGATTGGAACCGATCCGGACCGTATACAAATAGTATATATTTTTATTATACATCCTCCCCCATAGTATCTTCTCTTATTCTATATAAAATCTAAACTCAAACTTAAAACCGTATAATATCTTCTTTTATTACTTTTGTTTGTTAGTTTTTAGTTTTAATTTGTAATGGTCTAAATACTTATGGTGAAACCAGTTTTCTTATGGTTGTTTAAATTCTAGCATAGTATATCGCTATTATAGAAATAGATGTTGCTATTGTGGAACTAATATAGCTCTATGTTTATATTTTTATGAAATTAAAGTGTTATATATATTTTTTTGTTATTTAATTATGTGAATCCGTGGTCCTAAACCGATCCAATCCGTATTTAAATGGATTGGTTCGGATTGGTTCCATGATTTAAACGGATTGGATTGGTTCCAATTTTTCAGGAACCGTAGATAACGGATTGGTCCTGATTTTACCCCAATCCGGTCCAATCCGAACCATGCTCACCCGTACTTTTTTCTTTTCTTACCTATCCTTTCATGATCTGATGAATAATCTCACCTTCCTCCCTCCCTCCTCCTCTCTTTTCTTTTTCTTTTTTCTTTTTTTATTTTTCCCCATCTTTTTATTTTTCTCTCTATTTGTTTATTTTTTTTAATTTCTCCTTTTCGTTCACTTATTTTTATTTATACCGTGCTGAAAGGCACGAGTATGCACTAGTACATAAATAAATCACAAAATATGCTTATAGATCTCATATAATATGAGATTGTACATGTGTGCCATGATTTATTTTTGTATTAATAGCATTGTTGTACCGAGTTTATACAATAATATGAGAGAGAGAGAGAGAGAGAGAGAGAATCCCCCAATCCAAGTCCAGAGCTTGTTGAAATTTATTTCCAGTTTCAAAGTATAAATGCTCTTCCCGAAGGGTTCCCAATGTTCTCAACTCAAGTGATAATTCTGTGAGTCAGTAAGGCACTGCAGAACAACACACATTGATGATGAAACTCATGGGGTTCATAAAATCTCTGCTAAGTGGCTCAATCACTGTTTCACATGAATATTCCAATGAACATTTTTAACCCTTAGATGGAAGATGTAAAACAGTACAAAAGAAACACTTTCTGCAAAAGAAATAACCACTAATATTGCGATACTTGATACATAAACTACATAATATCACCATCTTTTTTTTCTTTTCTTTTTTTCAATACCAATTTTGATTCGTAAGCTAGAAGTACTATTCCACGGCAAAAATCAGAGACATAAAATTCACTCATAACAAGAAGTCTGAAATTGTATACAAGATTCTAGCTCATAAGTTGGTCCACAAGATGATAAAAGCAGATTAACAGGACAAGCTCACTCACATCCTTGTATTACTAAGATAAAAGCCTAAGCTATATTTACTCTTGAGAAATTCTTCAACGTGGATAAGACACTAACTTCGGCCTCAACAATTAAAGTATCCTTCACAAGGAATCCCTTAGAAGCATCATGGAGGTCAGTTAACGACAAAACTGAACTGCGGCCCCAGCCGAAGGTTGGAGCAAAGAAGCATTTTGTACCTGCAAGACAGTAGTTGGACAATTATTGTTTGATAACCCGAAGGATCACCATAAATGCAAAAATCATCATCATCACCAGAAAACAAATGGAATCTCATGGATATGATTTTTTTATTTTTGGGTTAGGTGAGGTTAGCTTCAGGCTGGAGTCATGAATATTTTGTATTTAAAAACATAAATTAGTAATGATCATGTCATCAGTGGCACCAAGATCACCCGATGAACAAAAAAATGGTGGAAATGTAACTTTCACCTGTAATTTCAACATGTTGGCCGTGATATTGGTTCCTTATGAGCAGCTTGTATTTTGCATATGTTTTTCGATCAAAAGGAAATGTTACCCAATCATCTAACGACAAAAAGACGGACAAGCATTTGTCCTTTGCCCTTGAATCTCCTTTGGGATGGAGCTGTAACTTCCTGGTTTTGTTATAGGAAGTCATAAAAAGCAGTTAATTGTTAGATTATCAATCTGCTTATTGTAATTGAGAGGAGCGAAGTTAATGATTGCATACCACTTCCGATTTCCAATCGTGAAGACTTTAGAATAATGAGTTTTGCCATCTAGAGATGAGAAGTTATCAATCTTCCAAGTGTAAGTATTGTCAAGTCCCTTCAATACAGTTACACACTCTCCTCTGCCATTATAATTTATAACAAGAACTTCAGCCCCAAACACGCAAGTGTCATGGATGAGGTATCCATTAGCAGCATCATTAAAAGTACCAAGTGGGAGTAATTGGGCAAAACCCCACTTGGTTTTCATCCTATGAAAGCGTCTAACCTTCCCATTGGCATCTGAGCATTGGAATGGAATAAAATCAGGGGTGTAGAGTAATGCACGAGGATGAAAATTTAAAAGCCTTAACCATGTTCAAATGAGATTAAATAGTTACTAAAGAATCTAACTACCTTGGATGGTCATGTACTTGTCTTGAATCTGATCATACACAAACAATTTAAAGTTTACATTGACCTCCCAACCAAGAGGTAACTCACTAGTCTCAGCGATTACCAAGTACAGAGAGATGTGTCCTTCCCCATTTCTTTCTTTATCACCATTTGGGTGGAGACACAATTTCCTTTAACGCGAAAGAAGAGTCAGCTTATATATATGTCTTAATTGGAATGAAAAGAAAAACTACACAAAAAAATATTTTATTAAGTACTCAACCATTTGTAGCCACCGGCTTCAAAAATATCTGATTCATAATTCTGCACTTCAGCATCCAACAATAACTGTGCGAGTTCTGAGAATGACTCAATCTTAAGAGTGTAGTGAGCTGGTGGTATATCTCTCAACGATCTTGCTACATCTGCAAAATGTTAAAAGAAAACAAATTTGTTCTGTATTTGTATAATTCAGCCTATGATGCATGGGTTCTTTTAAATATATGAAATACTCGTGTCACACACATGACGTCATAAAGGTTCTACTTGAATAAATTGCCAAAAGAAGTCATCTTTTTCCATGGCAACAATAATTAAAGAATCTCACTGTTTGCATAATGGGAAAAACACAACATAAAATAATAACAAATATAAAGTCATAAGAGTAGAGACTTTATTCTTTCTTGATCACACCTTACACTTAGCCTCTTCAACACAAACATATATATATATATATAGAGAAGCTCATAACCGACTCGACAAAGTCAGCAAAGAACAAGAAACTTTTTTTTTTATAAAAATTTTAAAGCCATTTCATCACATCATGTTTTTCAATTCTTCTCCATGCTTCTACTAATTACCATTTGTCTTTTACCAAATACAAGAGGCAGTGGAGGAGTTCTAACTCCTTCCATATGTTTTTTTTTTTATTATTAAATAAATTTCACAACATATATTAAATAAGATTATATTTACAAAGTATAATTTTTGAATATTAAAATACCTTGTGCATAAAATATGCACCAACAGTATGTATGTATGTATGTATGTATTTACAGTATAAATGTTGTTAACAGTACTAGTAAAAACTTGGGTATTACCCTATATAAAATCAAAGAGTCTCTTGAATACTTCTCATTCTCAATCACCAAACAATTTGTTGATTAGCTTCATAATTTCAGCATGACAATCAGTTAAATTTTTATAAAACCCATTGAACCCAAAACACAAAACCCTAGTCGTTTGAGGAAGGCACAACAATGTTCAGAGGAAAGGAATGCAGGGGCGGAGACGATGACAACAAAATGGGGGCTTTTTTCCATTTTCTTGGCTCAACCACTGATTGGTGGCCTGTAAAAGATGGCTTTTACGGATCATCAATCTCCAGACACAGATACAACACTATATATATGTATATGTAGAGAGAGAGAGAGAGAGAGAGAGAGAGAGAGAGAGAGGTACCAGAGTTGGCATTGTGAAGAGGAGGAATAGGATGGCATGATTTCTCTTCTTCCATGTTGTCTGCAACCTCTCAACAGGATTTGGGAGAACACTTCATTGCTAAAGTCTACTGCATAGTCTCCGCACCGAAGCCAAGCTTTTATAAAAACCATTTGCCGGGTGGGTGGCAAAAAAGCAAACTAAAAAGCAAACCCATTCATATGAAAAAATAAAAATAAAAAATTGCACCACGTAGAACGTGGGGTTGTTTAACTTTTATTTGTTAGCGATGCTGCTTAAATCACTGAATTTTTATTTTATTTTTAGGTGGTAGTTCCAAACACGGCAGAGCTGCAATCTTAATTCCTAAGTAATATTTTAACTTTATAATAATAAAATAAATTATAAACACATCTTTTAAAGTTTATTTAAAATATAAATTGTCCATTATAGTTTTAGAAATTATAAATATTTTATTATCAATTTTTTATTTAATAATTTTGAATGATGTCAGAAATATATTTCGATTAACAATTTTGATAATTTACTATGGGGAATTTTTTTTAAGGTCCCTAATAATAGTAATTTAGATGATAAAGGATACAACAAAAAAAAGGGATGATGCCCTAGGTCCCTCAACTAAGAACGCGCGCTTTTTATTTACTTCTTGGACCAACATACCCTTCACAAGCAACCGAGAAACTGAACTACATTCCGACGACTCAGTTCCAGTCTTGATATCCAACCATCTTCATGAGCAAAAGAAGAGCTGAATTAGGATTTCACAATCATCTTCACTATCGACATTACAGTTTCATTATCTTTTGTGAAAATCTTTTTCTTTCTTTCCTCACAAATTTCTCTAACCCGTTTTCACTGTTTATCGTCATCTCAGTTCATCTTCATCATAGTGTATCTTCATCTCAAGGCATATCAGTTTGTAATTTCGATTTTATCCTCACTCTGGTAAGTTTTTCTACAATCCAATGAGTTTTTCTCTAGAAACACAGTTAATTGCATTTTATATTAGCCTTCCATTAATTAGGATTTCAATTTCTTAATAAAAGCTACTTGAATTTGAAAATTGTTATTTCTTTGCATTTTGAACATATTATTGAAGATTGTTGTGTGATTTTGAAAAATGTGATTTTGTTTGTAAATTTCTCTGGCATTTGCTTGATCTAAGTTTCTCCTTTGAATTTTATCTGGCATGTTTATTCCCCCATTTGTTTTTGTTTATTCCCCTATTTTCTCTAGCATTGTTAATTTCTCTGTATTTCTCTGTGTAATTTTGAAGTTCAATTCATTCAAATTTCTCTGGTTGTGTGAACTTCTCTGAAAATGTAAATTTTCTCTTGTCTATGTCTAATTTTCTTTGGCCACATTACTTTTCTCCCTTCTGTGTGCCTGTCATGTTTAATTTTCTTTGGTTGTCTGTAAATTTCTCTAGCATTTTAATATTCTGTGACTTGCTAGATTTATGTTTCTTTTTTGAAAATTTGTCTGTCATGTTTATTTTGTTCAATTCTTGTTTTCCTCCAAATTCCTCTGTCATGTTTATGTTGCTGAGATGAATTTATCTAGGAATGGAAATTTTCTCTTGTCTATGTCTAATTTTCTCTGGCATTTGTAATTTTCTCTAACCACATTACTTTTCTCTCTTCTGTGTGTCTGCCATGTTTAATTTTCTCTGGTTGTCTGTAAATTTGTCTAGTATTTTAATATTCTGTGGCTTGCTAGATTTATGTTTCTTTTTTGAAAATTTCTCTGTTTTTATTTTGTTCAATTCTTGGTTTCCTCCAAAATTCTCTGTTGTGTAATTTTTTGTGGCATGTTTATGTTGCTTTGTTTATTTTCTCTTACTAATTGTGGAATGGAAATTTTCTCTGTCTTGCCATGTTTAATTTTCTCTGGCATTTTAATTTTCTGTGGCTTGCTACATTTATGTTTCTTTTTTGAATTTTCTCGGGCTATATTTTACTTCTATATATAATTTTAGAAATTATTAAAAATTTCTCTAGCATGTTTATTGTCATGACCCCATTCCGCCCCTCGTAGAATGGTGCCTTGATGGCCAGGAATCCGAAATTACCAAATGCCAACTTACAAAGTCACACACAATCAGAGTATACATATGGGGCTCACATGTGCAGAACCAATAAATTTAAATCTAATTCGTCCATAAGAGTTGTGCATAAATCAAATGAAATGGCATACATCATGATATAGTTTACAGCTTGAATACAAATAAAGTAAAGTGCATGTTACATCTTGATCAAAAGGCTTCTCAAGCCGAAATATACAAAAGACATGAATTACAAACTAAGAAGCATAATCTTCAAGATGCTAGCAAAACATTATTCCAAAACAACTTGCAAATAACATCTAGGCATCACCGCCTTCTTGCTCGTCACCTACATATATATAAGGAGAGGGTGAGCTTGGATACTCAATGAATGATATTAGTAATAAAGGTTTGAATGATTGATATTCGATATCTTTATCAAAACAATACATAGCATATCTTGTACAAAATCAAGGGACGAATCAAGTTCATCTATCAAGTCTTTCAAAGCTTCAAGGGATGCTTACTAGCATCAATATAATACAAGGGATAACATTCCTGACAAAACAAGGGAATAATCGACCCAGAATCGATTAGACAAACCCACCCGCACAAGGCCGTCGGTGGCAAGGGAGATATCTTAAACAAGGGTACTAGTTGCATTATAGTCCCCTAGCACTAAGAACTTTACAAAAATGTCATCAAAACAAGATAGTACTTGATACAAAACTAGGAATAATCATTCATACTTGAACAAACACTTTTCCAAAACGAAACAAGCAAAGCTTTTATCAAAACATTAGAACATAGCTTTATTAAAAATACCACTCACATAGCTCTTCGGGTGTAGAGCTTAAGGCAATAATCCAAGACCTACAAATACATGGCAAGGTCCACTGAATGTATTTCAAGAAGGCAAGAATGAATGCTCAAAAGATGGTTATGCAATGCATCCTTAAAACAAGCTTTACATGAGAGTAAACGATCCTGGCATTTCTTTCAAAACTAAGTCAAGACAAAGCAAAACATGTGCTGGGAGTTAAAACGCTGTTTTTCATCTCGAAAAAGCATGCTGGGTACCAACCAAGTCTTGGCCGAGGTCCCACATCTCTTGGCCGAGGTGTGGTCCCGGTGACCACATTCAGGGAAATGAAGCCTGGAAAATCTGGGTTTCCTTTTGAAGAACATGAAGAACATAAATGCAAAAAATCATAATTTCTTTATTCAAAATCTGAGATTTCATGATATGAGTTCAAAAACATGGACCTAGGTACCCATACTTGAAGATTCCATGAAAACAAGCACAAAAACATTGAATTTGTTATAAACTTTCGGATCAAAACGTGGGTTTTTCTTGAAGAACACAAGAACATCATTTTCTCTTTCTACAACAACTTTAAATCAATGCATGGCTCACGAATCATGCTGGATCATGCAATGCGATCATATATATACAAAGAACAGCTAGAGAAGATCAAGATTCTAACCTCAAAACACAGATTAATCGGTTCAAACTCTAAGAATCAAGCTTGGAAATCTACTTCTCTCTCAAGGACTCCTTCTTCCTCTTCCTAGAGCTTCTCTCTCTTCTAGGGCAAAGATATATAGTAAATGATATGTTTTCTCAACTACCGGCTAACTTAACCCTCTGCTGGGACACGTAGCAACGTCTAGTTGGGTTTTCTCAAAAAGTGATTGAATGATAAGACATGAGCATGACAAAGGGTATACAACAAGTAAGGTGATAAGGGCACTCTGACAAGGCAATGACCTCGGATTAGGACACAGGCTTCGGGCAAGAAGGTTTCAATGATCTCGGCTAGGAAGGATAACACTCGGCCTAGCTGTGCCACACCTCGGTCTAGGTCATACCAGTCCAGGAACAAGATCACTAGGTGAAAGGATCAAGGATGTTGGATGCCTAGATGGTAACATCTCGGCCTAGATGATACACATCTCGGCCTAGGTGATGCACACCTCGGCCTAGATGATGACATCTCGGCCAATATGTCAGGGTGAAAGTGGAGGTCAACCGAAGTGGTTCCAAGATAGTCCTAGGTGTAAGAGGTTCAGAGGAGTGACCTAGGCTTAGCGCACCAAGCAAGGAACAAAGCATACAAGCAATACTCAAGCAAATCACATAAGCACAAAACAAGACAGGGACCTTTACTTTAGGCAAAACAAGTCAAAATCTACAAATGCAAGCTTAACAAAACAAAATCATGCACATGCACATGAACATGGCTAAGATGAGGATGAGGGTCATTACATTTATGTTGCTTTGTTTATTTTATCTAACATCTAATTTTCTGTGTCTAATTTTCTCTAACATTTATAATTTTCTCTGGCCACCTTAGTTTTCTCCCTTATGAGTAATTTTCTCTAACATGTTTAATTTTCTCTAGGATTTAATGTTGACATCTTTATGTTTTCGTTGTCTAGAAATAGAAAAATGCAAAAACAGCAAAACACCAGAAGCACCAACGAAGAAACAGATACTCTCTGAGTTTGGAAATTATGATCTTAGATCAAAAGGTAGCAAAACACCACAAACTCCTTGCCAAAAAATAGAAGTCCAAGTTAAAGAAACAACAAGCATGAAGATGAATACGCCAACTTCAAACGACTCAAGCTCAAATGGGAAAAAACCTGTTAAACTTCAAAGGAAAAGAACTTTTTACAACATTCAATTCCGATCAAACCTATCATATGTTGTCTCCTTTTTTCAAACACTTAAATTCAATTCAAACAAAGTTGTAGAGCTCCAAAAGACCCCATTCTGGTATTTGATCCAAGCTCTAACAATGGGAAGGATGGATCCAAGGAAGTGTAGAAAATCAAATGATGATGTAGTTGCAATCATCCAAAGATACAATGAAAAAACAAAAGCATTCACAATTGGTAAGAAGAGCTTGACCTTTACAACCAATGACATGACCTTGATTTTTGGTTTGGAAGGTGGACAAGGCGCCATGTCATTAAGATACTCAAAGAAGCCAAACACGCCATTCCTAAGGCGAAGATTCCCAAAGGAAACAAGGCTCACTGGTCTTATTTTAAAAAAGGCATTGATCAAAGCAATTAAAGGGAAGCAACCACATGACTTCAAAGATG